TTTTGGATCAGCTGAAGGCTTTTAACTACAGTTTGTGGACTTCCTAAGTCCTGACTTCCTGTTTAGGCCGAAGCCTTCACTCAAAAGGCAAGAAGGAAGTTCCTGAGTTCAGCAGCTGATCAGGATGTTGGGCTCAGCTCTGGATCGGCCTGGATGGAAAGACTGGATCGGTGCGTCTCTAGAGAAACATTCCCCACTGCTCCTTAGGACCAGAGCAGCTGTTTTAGACCTCAGATGATGAAGCATGGCGGTCACCATGACTGCCAGGAGGCTTAACGAGGCTAGCTTGAATGCTATGAAGCCGGAGCCACAGTGTGTGGCAGACAGAAGCGACGGCCTCCAGCTGAGTGAGAAGCATGTGGGCTGCCTGACATTTCAGCTAAATTTAGTCTGAACTAAGAGGGTCCAGTTTAGGCGTGCCCAGAGTGGGCTGGTTTTAGATGCCGTGGGATTCCCAGCATCTCTTCATACCAGGAGCGGCTGGTTTAGAGGCGGGCAGGAAGTGGTAAATGTTGGACATGATGGCGCCTAGTGAGGCTGATAATCTGAACCGTAGCGGCGGCTGCAGTAAAACCGTATATTCTATAAATAAAACCTTTTCTTTCTAGCTGAATGTTCCTGTATAAAATAACGTGCTGTTGTCTTCTCCTCCTACTGCAGGGGATGCTGCTCCTCCTGAAGCTCTGCTGTGTTTGTGTCTCCTCCTCAGGTTTTGAGCTCCAGTTCCGTCTGGGTCCGAGCCTCCAGGGAAGGCGGGTCATCGTTCACACCAACTACCCCCTGGAAGGACAGAGGTTCATCCGAAACAACTTCCGTGTTTTAGCCTGGAACTACCCGACAGGCCGGGAGGATGACTCCGATAAGTTCTGCTCCCTGGAGCTCAACATGGCCGGATCCTACCAGTACTACTTTGGATACGCGTAAGAATCTCCGTCTCATAGAGCGACCAATCAGAGCCGAGTTTGGCCTCGCAATGAGCAGAACATCGTCTTATTGGCTAATGTGTCGGATCCCAGCCGCCATGCTGATTGGTCCCAGCTGCTCCTCGTAGGGCTGAGGGCCACTCTAAGTGGGGGGGGGGACTATCAGCTACACCAGCTGTTAGCCTTTCACTGGGACTGCCTGCTTCAAAAGTAGAGGGGTTAAAGGTCAGCCTTACCCATGAGCCTCTGGGAGAAGGTCAGAACGTCCCATGGACAGATTCCCGCTGCAGGTTCCAAACCTTCATCTGAGCAGATAAATGAGACAATCTGCCAAAGGAAGGAGCAGTTTTACCCTGAGAATAAATTTCCTTTATTTATACGATTCTATTGGATGAAATAAGATCAAAGCTTTTTATTTTATTGGCAAATAGTCTGAATATCTTCCTTTGATCAAGGAAAGATCCACGGATTCTAAGGAAAGGAAAGGGAGGATCAGCCGCTCCTCCTCTGTGGGAGTGGGAGGATCAGCCGCTCCTCCTCTGTGGGACGGGGAGGATCAGCCGCTCCTCCTCGGTGGGACGGGGAGGATCAGCTGCTCCTCCTCTGTGGGACGGGGAGTCATAGATGTGACTAGATCTCTGACACATAGAAGCTGGGATCTGACTGAGTGTGTTTGTGTTGCTCCTCCTCTCAGAGGCGTGGAGAGGTTAGGAGGAGGCTACATCGTGGTGGACCCCGTGCTTCGTGTGGGAGGAGACAACCATGTCCTCCCCCTGGACTGCATCACCATCCAGACCTACCTGTCCAAATGCCTGGGACCCCTGGAAGACTGGCCAGACCGGCTGAGAGTGGCCAAGGAGTCAGGTGGGTGGAATGTAGATTTAGATCAACTAGACCTCACTCATCTCTATGGCTCAAACTGTGTGATCTAGGTCACTGAGATCTACGTTCCCCGTTCAACTGGTTCTGATTTTCTAGGGAGAAATTTAATACGACTTTAATGAGTTTCTGCTGACATGAGGTGACAGAGCCTCACCTGGTTCTCTCACAGGGGGACAGGTTCTATCTGCGGAACCCGTCCCCCTGTGGAACCTGTCCTCCTGTGGAACCCTTCCCCCTGCGCAAACCCCGCCTCCTGTAGAACACTCCCCCTGCGGAACCCGTCCCCCTGTGGAACCTGTCCTCCTGTGGAACCCGTCCCCCTGCGGAACCCGTCCCCATGTGGAACCTGTCCTTCTGTGGAACCCATCCCCCTGCGGAAACCCCGCCTCCTGTAGAACAGTCCCCCTGCGGAACCCGTCCCCCTGCGGAAACCCTTCCCCCTGCGGAACCCGTCCCCCTGCGGAAACCCCGCCCCCTGTACAACCCGTCCCCCTGCGGAACCCGTCCCCCTGCGGAAACCCCGCCTCCTGTGCAACCCGTCCTCCTGCGGAACCCGTCCCCCTACGGAACCCGTCCCCCTACGGAACCCTTCCCCCTGCGGAACCCTTCCCCCTGTGGAACCTGTCCCCCTGTGGAAACCCGTCCCCCTGCGGAAACCCCGCCTCCTGTACAACCCGTCCCCCTGCGGAAACCCCGCCCCCTGTGGAACTCTTCCCCCTGTGGAACTCTTCCCCCTGTGGAACCCGTCCCCCTGTGGAAACCCGTCCCCCTGCGGAAACCCCGCCCCCTGCGGAACCCTTCCCACTGTGGAACCCGTCCCCCTGTGGAAACCCGTCCCCCTGCGGAAACCCCGCCTCCTGTAGAACCTGTCCCCCTGATACATTGATTGATGCATTTCTGTACAGAGAATAAACTCCCAATCTGGGTTCTACCGTGTAAAGTCTGCTTTCATCTGAGAGAGAACCAGCAGCCTGGGTCAGAGGTTTCTGGCACCATGCCTGGTTCTGTCCTGGATGGATACGTTTCTGCAGGTTCTGTTGTATACTCTTTGGGCCAGAACCAGTCCTGAACCCTTTCTGCCTTTCCTCCAGGTTACAACATGATCCACTTCACTCCCCTTCAGACTCTGGGAGAGTCCCGCTCCTGTTACTCGCTAGCCGACCAGCTGAGCTTCAGTCCAGAGTTCAGTCCAGAAGGGAAGAGCTACGGCTGGGAGGACGTGGGAGAACTGGTGGAGAAACTGAGGACGGAATGGAACATGGTGTCCATCACGGACGTGGTGTATAATCACACTGGTGAGTCAGTAACGGCGCCAGCGGTACCAGAACCAGCTATTTGATGCTAGCAGAGGTCCATCAGACCTGCCCTCTCCGTAGAACCAATTAGTTCCTGTTTTATGGCTGGAGAAGCAGGGAACCAGTTAACCTGTTTTGGTGGAAACCAGCGGATCTTCTTTAGGATCTCTGAGCAATTTGGTTCTACGTGCTCTGATAGATCCACTGGTTTTTTTTCTGTGTCCAGCAGGATAACAACAGGACCACCTGTTTGAACGGGTCTGGACCTGACTGTTCTGAGGGTTCTGCTTTGGTTCCAGAGGCCCGATGAGGCTAAACACTCCACTTCAAACCTACCGACTCATTTTACTGCTTCTTTGGTTCCAACTCGGTTTCTTTTGCTCGGTTCTGTTTTCTACATGAGGCACCGGGTCCTTTACTGGAAGTAGAAGCTGTGTTTTCCCTCTGGGATTATTGAAGTATGTCTGATTCTCATAGAAGGTATTTCTTGAAGTGGGAGCGGATCTAGAACCAGCAGGTCTGGGACCGATGGATGGGACAGTAGAGGTCAGGAAGCGGATTGGTGAATCCAAGGCTTCCTGCTGTCTCCACTGACTGGATCCGGTACCGAGCAGGACAACCTTTAGCATGCTAGCTTTGGTTTGCATGGCTAAAACAGGAAGCTTTTGGTTTAGGTGGAGATTCTGAAATGATAGATCTATATATTGATTAATGATGTGTTTCAGAGCAGAGCGGCGGTGTGTGTTTTACTTTTCTGGGCTTCCTGGGATGTTTTTGATTGGAGTTTCTGAGCAGCTGGTCCAAATCAGAGAAATGAAATGTTTATAAACCTGCTTCTTTAAGCTGCCGTTGCCGTAGAGATGTGTTCCCCACGTTGACTAGCTGCCTTCCTCCTGTCTAGTTTCCTCTGGCTGTACCAGTGAGCACCGTGATCCTAGATTAGCACCCGGTGCTTCTCTAACCTTATCATGTCTTCTCCCCTTCGCTCCCAGAAAGGTCAGCCTGTAAAACGATCCATCCTGAAGGTCAAACTGGTTCATTTACGGTTCGTCAGGCTCTGACTCCGTCTGCTCTTTAATGCTTTAACCTGCAATGTGTTAATGCAGAGATAAGAAAAAGCAGCAGATCTATGGATCAGTAATGGAGCCTCTCTCTCTCTCTGTGTTGCTGTGCAGCTGCTAACAGCGTCTGGATCCAGCAGCATCCAGAGTGCGGCTATAACCTGATGAACTCCCCTCACCTGCGTCCTGCTTGGCTCCTGGACAGAGCCATCTGGCACCTGACCACCAGGGTCGCAGACGGCCGCTACCGGGACAAAGGGCTTTCTGCTGACATCACCTGTGAGAGCCACCTCAACGTAAGTTCACAAGTTCCCTGGTTCACAAGTTCACAGGCTGGTTTACAATCTGAATCAATTCAACTTGATTTAGTAGTTACGTTTCCATGGATCCACTGACAGCTGTAGCTTTAAGCCCCGCCTCCAGCCGTGCCACTGCCAACCTCACTGCTAACGTCACATTAACACTAAAAAGATATTCCTGAAAATGTGTCAGAACTGGTTTGAAGCTGGTCCCCATGGCCGACATCAGCTACCAGCGTTGGTCCCCATGGCCGACATCAGCTCCAGTGTTGGTCCCCATGGCCGACATCAGCTACCGGTGTTGGTCCCCATGGCCGACATCAGCTACCGGTGTTGGTCCCCATGGCCGACATCAGCTCCAGTGTTGGTCCCCATGCAGTCCATCATCTGATGTTTGGAGCGTCTGAGTCCACAAAAGGAGGAACTGAAGGCCAAACATGGATCCTCTCCTCCTGAGCCAGGCTAACCGCTAATAGTTCTGTTCTTTCTTCTCCAGGTGCTCCGCGGCGTCTTCTGGGAGGACATCTTTCCTCAGATCAAACTGTGGGAGTTCTTCCAGGTCCAGGTGGAAAGTGCTGTGGAGGAGTTCAGGATTCTCCTCCAGAACGGTGGGTTTGATGCTCCTTTAATAACACGGCATCAGGAGGCGGAGTCAGATTTCTTCAGGATTCTTTCTCAGAGTTCCAGGACCTAAAGCCGGACCGTTTCTCTGCAGGGTCCAAACCAGATCCCAGTAAGACTGGAGGAAAACCAGGACTGAAGATCATTCAAGACCCCCAGTACCGTCGCTATGGCAACACAGTGGACATGGACTCAGCTTTGGAGACGTTTGTTCCTCACAGGTTAGTCCCAGAAAGTCCCACAGGTTACTGGTTTTAGTCTAACTGGTTCCCATCTAACTGGTTCCCATCTAACTGGTTGCATCTAACTGGTTGCATCTAACTGGTTCCCATCTAACTGGTTGCATCTAACTGGTTGCATCTAACTGGTTCCATCTAACTGGTTCCATCTAACTGGTTGCATCTAATTGGTTCCACCTAACTGGTTCCATCTAACTGGTTCCACCTAACTGGTTCCATCTAACTGGTTGCATCTAATTGGTTCCTAACTGCTGGTCATCTCATCAAGTGCGTCCAGTCTGAACAGGACTTGATGAGATGACTGGAATCTGGTGCTACACACTGCCCTTACTGGAACCAGTTTGACCCCCCTGCGTTAGAAGGTTCCTCCTGACATGAAGTGATTTCTATCTGATGTTGCAGCTCCTCCCCTCAGCATATAGAGGAGTGCTGTGATTGGCTGAAACGGAGACTGACCGAGCTGAATGAGGAACAGTTCCACATCGTACACCAGCATCAGGAGCAGGTGAGGAGTGGTGCTGATTGGCTGCACTTTCGGGAGGGGTGGGGCCGTTAGCTAGCTGGAAGGAACTCACTGGACTTTGTTTTTCCAGGCAGTCAACTGTGTGGTGGGGAACATAGTGTACGAACGTCTGGCTGACCACGGCCCCAAACTGGGTCCTGTTACCAGGAAGAACCCTCTAGTTACCAGGTACCAGCCAGGGGGCGGGGCCTGTCCACTGCTCTGTAGGAGGGCCGCTGGTCTACCTTTGGCTCACACTGTCTGCCCTGCAAAGGAGTGCCTCTAACCTCTCAGTGGTTTCATGTCTCTCCAGGTATTTCACCTTTCCCTTTGCAGAAATGACTCTAGAGCAGGAGATGGACTTTCTGAGCCAGCCGGATAAGATGTGCCACTTCCTGGCGCACAACGGCTGGGTGATGAGCGACGACCCGCTGCGCAACTTTGCTGAGCCAGGTAGATCTCGGAGAACTCGCAGACAGACGGTCTTTAGAGCGGGGCTTGTTTACCACGGTCTCTGCGTGTCTTTAGGGTCCAACGTGTACCTCCGGCGGGAGCTGATCTGCTGGGGGGACAGCGTCAAGCTGCGCTATGGCAACGGACCCCAGGACTGCCCCTACCTGTGGGAGCACATGCAGAAATACACCGAAATCACAGCCAAGTACTTCCACGGAGTGCGACTGGACAACTGCCACTCTACGCCGCTGCATGTGGCCGAGGTATCGTCATGGTAACCCAGAGTAACCCACAGCAGCTGAAGGGGGCGGAGCCAGATGGAGTAGCCTCTGCCGACTCCGGCTCTCTCCCTTCTCTGTTAACGTCTGCAGAATCTGCAAACATCTGGATGTTAGCAAACGATTAGCTGGTTCTGGCGGCCATGTTTCCTTCGTACAATCGAGCCGCTGAGGGAGGGATGAGCTGCAGGTAGAGACGTTCGTCACATCCCAGAGTGAAACGAGGAAGTTCAGCTTCTTCTGCACCCATGTTAAATATTTCTATTTATATCATTTGTTGTATCTAAAAACTGATAGTCTTTTCTAAAAAAACAGCGTTTCCGTGGCGATGGGCTTGATAAAAGTCACTGAAATGGTAAAAGTCGGAGCCTAGGCTGAGACGCTGCTGTCAGTCAGAGGGACGGTGACCCCTCAGTGACCCCAGGGTTCTGCAGACCCTAACCCTGGCTGGGGCCCATGTTCTGCCCTCTGTGAAACACGGTGGTGGCAGCATGAGGCTGTCTAGCAGGAGCAGGGGATCTGGTGCGGATGGAGTAGATGAAGGTAGAGCTGCTTCATTTAATCCAGGAAACGGCTCCAGAAAAATCCGGCGGATTTTCCAGAGGCTGTGGATCAGAAAGGTGATGAAGCTGCAGCAGAGTTGGACGTCCTCATCCAGCTGTCTTTGTCTCCCTGTCCTGTGGTCTCCTGCAGTTCATGCTGGATGCAGCCAGAGGCGTCAGGCCCAACCTCTATGTCATAGCAGAGCTCTTCACAGGCAGCGAGCTCATAGACAATGTGTTTGTTAACCGGCTGGGAATCAGCAGCCTGATCAGAGGTACAGCAACTAAACCATCTCTTCTTCTTCTGCTGTCTCTCCCGCTTCCCTCTGCATGTCTCCATGCCTGCTCCTCCCCTGCATGCTAACACCTCCTTAACCTCCGCTCCTCCTGCTCCTCCTGCTGCTGCTGTCTGTAGTTCATGCTGGATGTGGCCAGAGGAGTGTGTCCCAGCCTGTATGTGGTTGCTGAGCTGTTCACTGGCAGCGAGGAGCTGGATAACATCTTTGTAACCAGACTAGGCATCACGTCGCTCATCCGAGGTACGCGCCACACACACCGTCACCTTTGACCTCTGACCTCCACCCCCATCCTCACCCCTATCCCACCCACAGAGGAACAAACCCCTGTTTCTCCATCAGGGAGACCCCACCCTCTGAACAGATCAGGGACTTTTCTAGAAGCTAACTTTCCTTTAAGCTAACAGGTGAAAATAAAGGCGTCGACAGAAGGTTTGAAACCAGAATGACCAGGGGCCCAAGCCAGAATGATCAGGGGCCAAAACCAGAATGATCAGGGGCCAAAACCAGAATGATCAGGGGCCAAAACC